TGCTCTTCGTTCTCTGAATTCGAAAAGCCACAGGTTTGGTAGTGTAGCGGTGATAGCGTCAACGTCTGCAATTTTGTATAAATGGTCCCATCTTCATTGAGGATACATTTTTGTATTCTCAATCAGATACGAGCGATTTACGAAATTATTGCTGATTGACCTTTTAGGCAAGCATTTTTGAAAAAAAAATATTTTTCTAGACAACTCTTGTCTATCGGACAGCAATTAGTGACACTAACTGCTAAACCACGGGTAGGATCAGCATCAGAAGTTCCTTATATTTCCGCAAAACATTCATACGTTACATTTCGCGAATGTTAGTAGCAGAATTATGCAATGTCCATTTCGATTCCGTAACACCTCTTGTCAAAATACGGCAGAGTTGAAGCTAGTCATGCACTTTGATCAAATTGTAAGCTGTAGTAGTTTGTCAGTTTTTGACACTGGAGCATAAATGAACTATTACTACAAAATCCAAATATGCCCTCTTTTTCTAGTGCCATCTTTAGTATAATCGAAATTATTCTTATGAATTTTACTATCTCACGAGAATTTGATGAGATATGCAATTAGGCAGAGCCGCATCCGAAATTACATCCTGAAAGACTAACGCTCTTTTAAGTTCAAAGATGTTCCAAAGCATACATTGAAATTTTCGATCATCTGATTAAAGATTTCTACAGAGGTTGTGTCGTATCTGCTTCCTTACTGATATAATTTTTACTTCAAGCACAATGCTCATGTATTAGGTTGCCCACGCTCCCCATGTATATCAACCATGTAAGAGATGAAACGATGAATCCCAGAATCGATGAACAGCCAATTGGATTGGATGGCAATAGTCGAATTTTGATGGCAAACAGGAGGTACTGCAAAATTATTGCGTTAAACACATAGCATATCCGTCAACTAGAAGGCAATTTGATTTTCATTAATTGCTTAGCAATCTGACGGATCCGGATGACGAAGAACAGTGGATTGGTCGGCACACCCGTCATGGAGATCGTCGCGCTCTTCCGCCGCTTCGTGAGCCTTTAATAATGGCGCGAAGTCAGGCTTTGGCTCTTGCTGGTGGGTTCATTTGTTGCCGTTCACTCAAGTGCTCTGTTCTAAATTTTTACCGTTCCCAGGAATGCCATCGGAGGCTTATGAGGGAACCTATCGCCCTGTTCCTGAAGGAAAATCGTTGAAACTTCCCTTCAGCAGAGAAGACGATACTCGACCAGCAGATCGTTTGGTCGGGCAAGCTCTAGGACTTGGCCGGTGAGGTCATCAAGGGACTATTTTTTAACAAAAAAGAAACATTCTCATTACGATCCCAATCCGTATTGCGAGTTGGTTTATAGAGCTTTGCAACATCAGCATGCGGATGAGAGACGAGAGTCCTGTAGGACATTGTGACAAAATCAAGTTGGTGCTATCCGCGAAAGAACCAACATTTGCGAAAGCAGTGGCCTTTTAACCCATTGATGCGTATTAGTGCCTTCTGGCAACCAAAGCGCTTTTCAATCTGCTTGTTTAGTTCTGTTTGAAGGGAAGTC